GAAACGATCACACCCAAAAAACACATCCTTCATTAATTGAGCCTTTTTGGTGTTCAGCTTAAGGCCAGCATTTTTAATCCGTGTCAGGAGCTCATTCAGCAGGGCATAGTGCTGTTCTTTCATTTCTATTTACAAAAGAACATTGTTCACATACTGAATGATAGTCTTGCTCAGAAAAGGGCTTCAGAATGTCAGCCATACAGATGTGGAAGTATGTTGAACTGGATTTGAACCCCTGTGGCAACCTGCAAAATGTGTACTGTTTTCCCTGAAATGTAAATGCAAATTTGTATTGGCTATCATGTATGGGAATTGAAAAATAGCCATTCGATATATCTATAAATGAATAAATTCTTGCAGACGGCTTAAGCGCTGTCATATCTGGCATTTTGCGACTACATTTGTAATGGGGTACATTTGTTCAGCGCATGGAAATCTAAAGTGGGCCTCCAGCCCTTTTTTTTTTTTTTTTTTTTTTTACTGGCCAGAGGGCTGCGTTTGTTTTTGAGTGGCATTCTTTAATGATGTTTTGGGCCAATAAATGTTCTATGTATGATGTTGCCCACACTTTCTCATGTTGCCACAAAATTTCAGCCAGTAGCTGGTCACCTGTTTGCAATAATGAATGTGGATTAAGGATGTCATCGGTCTTAACTGAGGCAATTTCACAACTGTCCATAATCATGTGCACCTTGCCTTTGTAATTGGGTGATGTAGAAGAGGTCTAGGTACAGAGATCTACAATAAGCACATGTGCCCTCATCAGATCAGAGCCCAAAATAGTACCTTCATGTGTCGGGAAAAGAAACAGTGTGTTCTACACATAACCTTCCAATGTCCATTGGCACAGGTATTGATTCCTCAGAAGGTACTAGCTGTCCGCCAAAAATTTTATTCACCAGTAGGATTCTGTTAAACTGATGGCTGCTCCCGTATCCAAAATAATGTTTGTGTGATTGCCCCCTGGATACGTGGTCTGCCTCCTTTGTCCCCCTTAAGATGAGATACTAGGGGAAAAAAACGGGGCCTGACATCCCTATTGCTTACAATAAGGATTGGTTGGAGGTGGAATTTTAAATTCCTCTGGGATATTGATCACCTGTTTTGCTATATTTTGTAGTTCTTTTAAAATGAGGACCATTTAATGCAACATCAGGTACTTTGTTCTGTCCTGCTGTTACCTCATCTGATCCCTCTTCTGCTTTTCTTGCCTATAAGGAACCTTTTTATCTCCTGCAGATCTTTTAGCCATTTTACAGTCTTTCATTAAATGTCTTGTATTTCCACACCTATAGCATCTACCTCCAAATCTAGCCTTTGCCTCATTCTTAATAACTTCAGAAATTCCCCTGTGAGGCCTATTGTCTTGATTTGGTCTCCTGAATCCAATCTCTTAATATATTTATAAATGTTTGATATGTACTGGCATTCCTTAGTGAAATTTCCGTATGGTAATCCACAAACGTGCGTTTATTAGCCATAGAGTACAAAAAACTGCTGTCAGGAGGCATATCAGGACAACTGTATGTAACCCTATACAGGCACAAATACTCACTACAAAATAGGACTGGGTCATCACCCCTCCTAAATTTGGCATTTTCTAGGGCATTTGTACCTCTAGTATCTCTTCCACCCATTATGCGTTGCAATTCCTTCATTCTATCTGCTGAGTTTCCCCAATTTGAGTTAATCTCAGGAGATGGTCCTTTGTCGATAGTGACAGGTGGCTGCAGTTTTTCACATAGTGCATGGCTCCCGTTGCAGCTAAGGAGCGCACAAGCATCCCTATTGCCCAAATTATACTGTCACTACAGCTTCCAATCTGTTAGAGGCTTACGGGTGAAGCATTAGTGTCAAAGTTCCCTAATATCTGGCACAGATTTGTACGATCCTGTAGAGAGAGTTCTGCGGATTGGGTGTTAGTGTTGATATGCAAAGTTTCTAGTCTTTGCCCAATCCTTTGTGACTCAGGAGTAAAGGGATGAACTGGGGTTAGGAGGTACTTCAGGGTCATCGACAGAATGCACTGGATGCTCCTCCCCCGCCATCCTGTCTCTTTGCTCCTGTGCCCCACAGGTTTTAGTACAATGGGTGTACCCTTTCCCCATAGACTGTAATTTAAGACAACATGCCCTGATCTTTCTGGACCAGCTGAGCTCTGAACTCATGTAACTCTCTTTAATCAGCATTTAAATTACCTCATTAGCAGCCTCCCTCTGCTCTATTGATGCTATAGCTTGTTCCCTAGCTTACATCGCTCTTCACACTCATTCCATCTCTCCTCCAAAGCACAATTTTGCTCAATCAGTTGATCCACCTCATCTCTCAGCTCATCAAATTCACAACAATTCGAATCCATATTTGCAGCCACTGCATAAATATTCTTGCTAACATTCTCTATCTGTTCTTGGATGTGCTTTTTCAATGTACCACTGAAGCTCTTTCCGTTCTGCAATTTCTCTCATTCGCAACCACATGCTCAAAACATTCGCCATTCTCGCTTTTTTTCCTTTTTTTAGATGTTGGTTTAGTCTTCACTGTATCATTGTGAAGATCACATTGCTTTAACAAATCCTTAAACTGATGGGTTAAAGCATCATCTGCACATGTCCAGAAGTTAGCAGAAGCATACTGTCATGCTAATGGTCACAATGAAAGTTGTTTAACCAGTACCTGAACACCAGTACCTGAACACCAGTTACTGACAATGAAAATGCAATTACAAGCAGACTCATGCGCACACACTCACACTCACCCTGGACCTTATAGTCCACCAAGGAAATTCACACTTCTCCTTAACACCACTGACTATTACCCCCACACACTAATCCTTACTTGGACTGCAGATCTAAGGCCAGAGGGATCTCCTATTGGTGTAGAAACCTACTTTCCTTTCACATGAAAAAAATCCAATATATTTTCTCACTTTCTCCTCAAAAGTTTTCTGGTTTTATCCTATAGATCTACAGGATACATCAGTTAACAAAGGCTGATCAGCCCTTTACTGCTGGCACAAACTGAACAGCTAAACAGGCCTAAAACGTATGCAATACAAAAAACAATATGCAACACATACACCAGCCCAAGATAAGAAACTTTTACTCACCAGATATGCGTGTCCGCTCACTGATGAAGTGTTTAACAGAACTTTCAGTATCCCTCAAACAGGATTCTGAACTCACAACCAGCACACATCTCCTCCACTGTATAAATGGATGTCTTCAGATCTGTGTCTTTTGTAGAGGTCTTAACTTCTTAAGCTTTTAGGAACTCAAGACAAAATAGATTAGGTTTGGGTAGAATTTTCTACATTCCTGCTTCTGGGGTGCCAAATGTAATATCTAATTTGACTTTGCTTCCTGAAATAAGGTAACTTGCTATTCTCTGCTTCCAATGATAACAAAACAATGGTTAAAAGGAGCAATGGTCTTATTTATTTATACAGAAATATAAATAAGCATAAAATATAAAATAGATACAATAAGACAAATAATACTTTACGCAGCAAGTCCGTCCTCTGGCTCTGTCTTGGCTGGGCTCAGAGAGAGAGCAATATGGCTGAGCACTGACTTTTATGGTAAACGGGACCCATTCATACACGTACATCACAGCCCTTTACCCAGAATTCCATATGGCCCTTATAGGTCTGTCGGCCAATCCGCATCTTCCTTCATATTTGTCCGCATGCACTGTAGTCGTCCAGCAAGAGGCACCAGTGTACTGCAGGTCATTCCTCAGCCTAGGTCAACACCTTGTCCTTTGATCCTTAGAGAATGGACAGCCACCTTCATATGCAATGCTTGTTATCTTGAGGGTGTCTTCCCAATGTGCCCCCATAAACACCACGGTGCAATGCATGACGTCCTGTCCAGATGAATGAATCTCACCTTTATCACTTCCCTTGCCATGCCTCCTGCGGGGATGAATACCATGGCCTCCAGCACTTCTAAAACACAGCTGGTTTCTTTGACCCATGCAATCTTAGATTCAATATTTGAAGATAGATGTTCATCAGTTTTAGTACATGAAAATGTAGTTCATTCCAACAGTCCACCTTTAGTCGACTCCATAAACAGTCATTGAACAATCAATTTGAGTGGCCAAACAATGCAATAAGTCGTTGACTATGTAAATTTGGGTTTGGGGATTATCCATGACTATGAACACGAGTGGTTTAAACCTATAGTGATATTTAAAAAGCACCTGGTGATTGAATGATTGTCCTCAGAATCAATGGAATCCAAGATCCATTGACGATTCTGATGACACTGAGGAGTGGAGAAACGGATCATTTCCATTTCAGTCATGTGTCTGACCAAATCAAGTTTGGCATATTTTGACCTATTAAGACCATTTATCCGGATGGGGGGATTAATAGATCGCTGTTAACCCTTTCAGCCTCTTAAGAACTGGACGTGACTTCCCCCTTTCCTAGTTTTGTTCTCCTGATGAAAAGATATGGTTAGTACATTATCTTGAAGAGATCTTTTATTTTAGCACAGGGAATTTTAAAAATATGATCATCTCCCACTTTAGACTGTGATTGTTAGGTTGGATAACCGTGACATCAGGGGAACTGACTATTTCTGAAATGGATTTCTAGGGAACTAGGCCTTTCTTCCACCAGGTGGCAGTGTTGCCAGGAATGGGGAGTTTTAAGTCTCTCATATTTAGCGTATTGACTTGTGACCACATTACTTGTTTCACACAGTCAACGATTGTGTTGAGCCTTTTTAGGAGATCTATCCCAATTATCATGCTCTGAGGGTGTGGGAGATTAGCAATGATAAGGTGTCGAAGTTCCTTATTACCCAATTTTAAGTTTTAAGCCAAGTAGTACCCATGATTTGCAGTGGCTTTCCATCTACCCATGTTAGTGAGCAATCAACACTCCTAACTTTTTGGTTTGTTGGGCAATAAATTGATTATTTGATTAAAAGGTTCCTGTGACAGAATGGTAGCCTGGGATCCCGTGTCGATAACACCTAAAATGGGGTGATTACTGGTATCCTATACCTTCACCGTGGTATAAAGTCTTTGATCAGATTCAGTCAACTCGCACATGAAATTAGCGTTGTTGAAGATCTGTGGACCTTTCAATAAATTACGATTGCCATTTATCTCTCCGCACGTCGCAGATTCCTTGCACTTATTATTCCTTCTGGATGGCTAGTCAGGCTTCCTCAAGACGGAAGCACAATGAGTAGCAGGCATTCCGTCCAACTGGTCAGTTACGTCGCTTCCCATTGGCTCAGCTATATTAGAGGGGTTAGATGGACACTGAAAGACAGGAGGGGGATTAATAAAGAACTGATTCCCCCTGGCCCTATGACTGAGTTCTCCATTTTATGGGCATGCCAGGGGTAGGATGCGTGTCTCCTGTCACATTCAGTGTTGTCCCCTGCTGGAGCAATGTCTGGAGATTTATGGATTTTGTTACCCTTGGTCACAGGAGCTTCCCCTAAAAAAGATGGGTTGGACAAGTAGTTATTCACAGTAGTTATTGAAATATGCAGCACTCCTATCTATATTTACTTCTCCTCCAGAACAGTTCTAAGCATAGTGGTACATTTTTTTTTTTTTAATTGGTCCAATCAAAATCCCCTAAAAGTTATGGATTTATGGCTTGTTTTTAACCATGGTGACAACTATTCCCCAATTCATTATTTAAGGTAATTGGTCATGTTCTATACTTAAATATATCTGTGCTTTATATTAAATTCAGATCACCCTTTTTCTTCTATTAACATTATGGATAGTGGTGATGACTAGAACGTTCAAGCCATCTACCGTGATTTATCTTTCTCTTCTCACTTGAGCTGCTTCTTTTGATTGAAAATTAAAGTTCCACAGTCGAGTGTGGCACAGTCGCTCAGAATGGCCAACATCTTGCTTATAAATACAAGACTGGGCTCAGGTTCATTGAGGTTTTTTTGCCAGTTAACTGACTTTTGCTAGTTCTAAAATTGGAAATGTGATTTTCTGTCCTTATGCCATTTCTAAAATAATTTGATACGTGATTTTCTGTCCTTAAGTATTCCAATGTATTTGTGGCCAATGCATATTTGGTGTCAATGCATATATAGTGAATGTTAATGTGTTTCTTTTCTTTTTTGCATGAAATGGACCTTTTGAGATGTTTATCCTATGTTGAGTCCAGGAAGTTATGACCATTAATGGAACATCAAAGAAGGTTCTCTGAATATAACCCCAAGCATGATCAAATGGAGTATTTAAAGTCGGTGTACCCCAAAATCGCCATCTGAATGGAGTGGTATCAGAACTATGGAAACGTATAAAGTGGAGTACCACCATATTTACTAAACCATTGAAGGTTTTCAGTATAACGAGGACTAATGACATCTAGGCTGGAGTCACTGTCACTGTGTTGCTGTATGGTTAAACACTCCCTAAAAACGAAAGTGTCTCAACCAAGCCAAAGAGGACAACATGCTCTTAACTACTAAAGATATCCTGAGAGAAGATATCCAAAAGAGTTGGCCAATGCTACTGGAATTGAAGCATGAACAGTCTTGCACAGACAAACCTCTCTGAACTTTTGAGTTCTACTTTATTTGTAGAAATGCGTGACGCTATGAATCCAAAGGCACAGTAGTGAACCTGCTGCTTGGTAATCACCAGTCGGGTTGTATATTGGTAAAAGCATGCTCAATCAGCTAGAGCTTCACATTATCATACTTTTTTGAGCTTTTGTTAATTCAACAGTGTGGAACATCTTACACTTAGCATATTATTGGCAATACCCTACATTGGACACAAAAAATGACTTGCCTGCACTGCCCGTCTTTGCTGTCTTGAAGAAATGCCACTATTGAAAATTGTCTTGCATCAGACACTTGCCTGGTTTCTTGCTGCATTCTGTGGTTCCTTCTGTTGACTCCTATGTCATTATGGTGTCCAGTAAGGGCAGGTGGTGTATGGCGAGCAGAGGATACCAGGCTTCAGACACTCTTATTAGTATTGGATACAGAAGTTGCTTCTTCAGTGGTGGTA